TAGAAAATAATTTAGAATTCACTAAAGGAAAACACATAATTGATATAAAAACAACAACAACAAGAAATTTTAAATGAAATAAAACATAAACTAGAAAATAATATTTCATAATGGGGGTGGTTATTGGGGAGTATGATTGTTATCAGCACTAATGCGACATACGGGCCGAGCAACATAAGAAAATAATTTTTTCATTAAAAAAAAATAAAACACACACATAATGGATAAACGATTTAAATACCCAATTTAATATGTTTATTCCGAGACTGAGCAATATTTCGTGATATTTGCACCCTCTTTCCCGATTAGAGGCAAGCAGCACCTCTTCCTCACACTGACATATTTTCCGAATATTACGAGTATTCAGTATAGCTATTGTCCAGATTCCCTTCACCGTGGGTTGTGTTGTGATGTTCGGCTTTCATTTGAGGTCTATAGATCAACTCGAAAATAACACAAAAAATTAAGTTTTCGGTCCACTTTATTCCAAAATTATAGGCGTTGACCTTGACCATAACTGGAACCTCATGGAACATTTCAAAGCGATCAGCGCTATAGTTCCGCTCTCCAGAGTGATAATGGGTTACTAAATAATATACGAATACGGAGATACCTGTAAATATTTAGGTGTGACTCCCACATCCGAGCACATACAACAATATAATTGGTCTTAATTTAAAGGTCAACCACTCCTCATGGATATAATATCAACTTCTCGGGTATATGTTCTTCAGGGGTAAATATATACGCCATAGAATACAAATTTTGTCATTTTTCACACAAAAGTCAGGGTCCATTTGACCCGCTAAATATTGACCGATCTTTCTCCAAACATGCATGCTTATTCTTTGGCCCGATCCGCTTCTCCATGCAAAGTTTTACGATGTTCGGACCGTTGTTGCGGCATCTGGAGCGACCAGAAAAATCGACAAAAATTTAGTATTTGGTCCATTTCATCCCCTAAATATTAACCGATCTTTCCCAAAAACAATAGGGGTCTTCATTGGCCAGAACCCATCCTACATGCAAAATTTCGTGAAGATTGGTCCATAACTGTGGCCTGTATCGTGTTTACAAATTATAATGGACAGACGGACGGACACACATGTCTAGATCGATTCAGCTAGTCGAGATATGACGATCGGTATGCTTAAAGGTGGGTCTAGGACCAATATTTCGCGCCGTTACAAACTTTTGGGGCTGCACAAAGCTATAATACCCTGACAACATAGTTGTGTAGGGTATAATAAAACACACACATAATTGATAATCGATTTAAATTGAATGAAATCCATTAAAAAATAATAATATTCTATCCAGAACAAGAACATCGAAAGGTATGATTGTTGTCATAACTCATACGACCTGATAGACAATTTTGCAAAGGAAAAAAACAAGAGGAATTTTATCAAGTAATAATTACCAAATCATTCTGACCAATTTAATTACCATATTCGGAAAATATTTTCATTCGTGTAAGAAAATTTAACGATATAAGACAAAATAATGCTTTACTTGATTTGTCTATATTAATTGGATGGGGAAACGAACTCCCAAATATACCCTACTTTTCCTTCTTACAATTTACAGCTCTCAGATATTTTCGAGCCAGAAAAAATTAATAAATAATCAAATATATTGTTGAATCTGTCATTCGTGTAAGAAAATATAATGGAGAAATCGATGACTTACGTGTCTTGGCTATATTAATGGCATCGGGTAATAAAACCCCGAAAATACCCTACTTGGCTTTATTTAAATTCGTACTCTCAGAGATTTTGAACAAAAAACATTAATAATTATTGAACTTTGCTGTTCAAAAGAACATCGAAAGGTATGATTGTTGTCATAACTCATACGACCTGATAGACAATTTTGCAAAAAAAAAACAAGAGGAATTTTATCAAGTAATAATTGCCAAGTCATTCTGACCAATTTAATTACCATATTCAGAAAATATTTTCATTCGTGTAAGAAAATTTAACAACATAAGACAAAATAATGCTTTACTTGATTTGTCTACATTAATTGGATCGGGTAATGAAACCCCAAAAATAACCTACTCTTCGTTATTTCAAAGCGCAGCCTTCAAATATATTCTAAGCAGAAAAATCAATAATTTCTCCTAAGAATTTACATTTCAAAATAAAGATACGTTATCGAGCGCAAAAGTCGACTTTAAGACTTTTCGATTTTTGCCTCTGACCATAAAGTCGATTTTTAGACTTTTCGATTTTTGTCTACTACTATTTATTTATTTCAATTCAGAATTTTTCGAACAAAAAACCATTAATAATTATTTAACTGGTTTTTTTCTCGTTTGTGGAAGAAACTAAAATATCATGGAGAAAATAATGACTTACGCGACTTGATTGTATTAATTGGCTCTGAAAGAGGAATCCCAAATATACCATACTTTTCATTATTTTTATTTCCATTACTGAGATATTTTCGTTTAAAAAAATCTGAAACTAAGAAATTTAAACTCGCATGTGGTAGAAAATATACCAAAAAGAACAGACAGATGTATTAATTTGACTTGTATTAAATTAGAATGTGGAGTCCCATATGTACCCTATTTTTTTTCTTTCAATTTGTATTATTTAGATATTTTCAAAAAAGCTTTGGCAATTCGAAAACTAAAAAGAAAAGACTGATTTATTAATTTAACGTGTCAATATTTATTGAATTAAAATTTGGAGTCCCATATATGCCCTACTTTTTCATTCTTTCTAATAACCTTATACGCCCATATACGCCCTACTTTTTCATTATTTCTAATAACCTTAATCATATATTATCTACCGAGAAACTCGGCAATTTGAAATGATGGAAAATATAGCAGTACCGGACAAACAGAATGATTAACTTGACATGTATATATTAATTGAATTTAAATTAAATGTCCCATATATACCGTACATTTCATTTTTTTCAAATCCTATTACTCAAACATATTCGATCAAAAAGCTTCCGCAATTCGAAAGCTAAAAGGAACATACAGATTTATTAATATGACGTGTCAAAATTTATTGAATTTAAATATGGAGACCCATCTATATATCCTACTTTTTCATTCTTTCAAATCGCCTTCTTTAAATATTTTCGACCAAAAACCTATGGCAATTTCAAAACCTAAACCCTTTAGTTTACATTGTATTCGAATTGCCGAAGCTGTTTCGTCGAAAATATCTGAGGAATGTGATTTGAAAGAATGAAAAGTAGGCTATATAGGGGACCCTATATTTAAATTCAATTAATAAAATTACGCCAAGTTAATCATTCTGTATGTCCCTTTTTTCGCTTTATTTTTCTCAACGACGAGTTTAAATGTCTTTTTTCAGATTTTTTTTTAAGCGAAAATATCACTGTGATTGGAACTGAAATAAGGATCAGTAGGGTATATTTGATATTCCTCTTTTAGAATCAATGAATACAGTTCATAAATTGTATTTTAAAATGTTACCAAAATATTCCCTGCGTTTCATTATCTCCAATCTTTGTATTTAAATATTTTCAATCAAAAAGCTTTAAAAATTCGAATAATTCTGAATAGTGGAAACTTAAATAAGGACCAGTAGGGTATATATGACTTGTCGGTATTAATTGGATCTAAAAGGGGATTCCCAAATATACCCTACATCTCTTTATTTTAAATTCAGATTTTTGATATTTTAATTACAAGGATCACCTTGTGGTATGAATAATCTATTCATTCTATTCTCTTCAAAATATAATTTTCGAGGTAAATGTTATATTCTGGCCACTTGATTAGTAGTGTTCATTTGGGAAATCTAAACTTATTCCATTAATATTTATGTTGGTGAAGGTTTTTGCTAAATTCCGAGTACCAAACTGGTTGTAGTTGCTTGTTTTGATCCTCAGTTCAACAGGGCGATTCATAAAAGTTTTTATGGGGGTTGTGGTCCTAACCATGTTATGTTATGCTAACAGATTCACTGTGTTATCATAATTTAAAGTGTCTTTACTAAAAGTAGTATGAAAATTTACCAATAGATAACGTATTCGGATGGTAGCTCTTTTTAATGTGTAGTAGTGAGAATTTGTATATTCCCTTGAGTAAAATAGGGTTCATTGGATACATGACTACCTAATTAATTATTTTTTACTGGTATTTGGATTGTAGCCCTTTTTAATGTGTAGCAGTGAGAATTTATTATATTTCCTTAAGTAAAATAGAGTTCATTAGATGAACGGCTACCTATTCAATTATTATTTATTGGTAAGATGATCACTAGAGAAAATCTTATTCAATCAAAGTATAAAAAGTTCCAATGGGTGTTAACCTTATTTAATTAGATTAATAGTGTTCGTTTAGCTAATCCCTACTTATTCAATTAGGATTTCTATTGGTTAATATATTTTATTAAATTCTATATGAAATATAGAATATAAAAAGAGCTTTTATCAAGTAAATACTGACATTTTGAGATTGTACATCACGTCGAATGATTTACATTAATTAATGGTATCCACATTGCGTATGATGTATGTATGAGCTCATTAAAACTTATACGCACCCTATATAAACATAATTCGTTTTTTCATGACAATCCTTAATGATTTACATCCCAGAGGATTTTTGAGCTCAAAAGGATTTTATATGTTTTGTTTTTTTTACTATTGCAAGGTTGATGTCAGAGTTTTACCCCATCCTAGTTAGTAAATAAATCTATGCCACTTTTCTATATTGTAAAATTGTCTATATTGTTGAAACATTTGTTTTTTTTCATTGAATAAGTTATGATAGATGAGAGCAAAGTCAAGGCAATAACACAAAGATCAACATAGAAAAATTCAGGGAATGAACATCAATAACGCACTGTTGCCATAACTTTTATGTGAAACTCAAATGTTACTGCTGTCGACGACGATGATGATGATGATGTTGTCATATTGTCAGTTTATATTTGAATTTTCTGTTCTTTTTTTTTTTTGCCTTTCAATCCCCCGAAAGATGAGAAAAGTGTTGTACTTACCTTGCCACTTAATACAGCACGCGCTTCGGATATTTCACTTGGCGGCACGGTGCCAGATTCAGAGCCTAGAGTTTTGATTACATTCGATAAGCCCGATGGTACCGATAATCCATGTGAATTTTCGGCACGTACCAAAAACACATATGATGTTGCTGGTTTTAAGCCGGAAATCTGGAAAAGAACGGAAAAACGAGCATGAGAATAAAAAAATTCGCACAAACAAATAAAAGACAAACGAAAAAATGTTGTATGAAATAAATTTTCATTCAAAGTGTGATGAAAACGTTTGTAGAGATAGTGAAAAAAAAAAAACAACAAGTTTTTTTTACAATAGTTTTTTAATTGCACAAAGTTTTATGCATATCGAAAAAAAGTAAAAAAAAAACTGGCAAAACTCTTTATTATCACAAAACTACCATCTCTAGCTAACTTAAATGTAAGCCCCAAAAGTGGTATAAAGTTTTGCTTTTTTTATCAAACATATATAGTTTTTGTTTTAATAGGCGTGTGTATGTGTTTTGTGTATTTTTAAACTTTATTGCTCCAAATTCATATGGAAGGGAAATGAAAAACTTTGGCAATAAATGGCTCCAGAGGTAATGGAATTAAAACTATATTGAAGATTGATATGAAATAGTTTTGCCTTTGAAATAATTTTATGGAAATAAAATTTAAATAATTGATAAGAAACGCATTTTGAAAATCTATTTAAATTAAGTTAAGAAATATTACCGTTATTTGTTGATCTGGTACCCGATGAGCGGCCACAACCCAGCCAGTTTGTAAATCGGAACTGAAATATTCCACGGTGTAGCTGTAAAGAAATAGAGAAAATAATTAAAATTAGAAAAAAGTGAGAATAGGAAGATATAATAAGGATTAAAATCGCTGCCGATATAAAAATAAAGAAAAAAAAGAAGGAAAACCGGTATTTCGCGTTGTTTATAAATTTCCACTATATAAATCCCACGAAAAATTTAGATTTTATTAATTAAGGGGACCCCCCCCCCCCCCCAGTCTCGGGGTCAAAATTTTTGTTGACATAATTCTAATCTACACTAATTCAAGAATGTCCCTGCAAAATTTCAAGTAAAAATATCAAGAACTCTTGAAGATATAGCCGATTTATTGTGTCAGCATCAAGTGACGGCTGAAGGGCTTCTCAAACTTAAAACGCGTTTTTCTCTCAACATTTTTTTGCGAATGGCGGGCACGATAACTCAAAAAATAATAATCCAATCGGTTCCAAATTTTGCAACGTTTCTCTGGGAGTGTATAGCTCTCGTATGAACTAGGATAAAGCCAATCGGTGAAGATCTTCCTTATTTTTAAACTTGGTTTTTGGTAAAAAATCGGCGATTTTTCAAAAATATGTTTTCAAAGGTCCACCAATTTGTTAATTTTAGAGCGAAGTCAATAATCCTAGTTCATACGAGAGCCAGACATGTACTCTTTCTAACACCGTTGGAATTTTCGGATTCCGATGTTCCAGTGAGGAGTTATCATGCCCGCCATCAAAAATAAGGACTTTTCTTTAATTACAAAAAACAACAACAAAACAATAACAAATTTTTTTTGTAAATTATTTTTCTTCTCTTTTAAATCTTCAATTATATATGTGCAAAGTTACAAACCTTAACAAGCATTGGTATTGATTCATTAGAATCAATTCTCATTAGAGAATTCCCTTCATAATCTAATAAAAATTGGAGTTACCTGCGTTTTGCACAGCAATTCAATGAAATTGTATTTCACGAGAAGATCATTATCATCTCCTAATACTCAGTACCGAAATTTTTCGCTATTCTCTTGAGAATTTACATTTCAAAATGAAGATACGTTATCGAGCGCAAAAGTCGACTTTTAGACTTTTCGATTTTTTCCTTTGACTAAAAAGTCGATTTTTAGACTTTTCGATTTTTGCCTTTGACTAAAAAGTCGAGTTTTACATTTTGTCAAACCTGCTCAAAATCGATTTTCGACTTCAATCGACTATATGAACTGCCGTCAACAGGCAAAAAAAGTTCTCAAATGTGTAATTTTTGGGCAACTAGTACTTTGTGATACAAAAAGTCGATTAATCGATTAGTTTCTGATTATAATATCAGTAGTGTTAATCAGGGATATCACTACTCAATTCAATAAAATTTCTATTGGTTATGATCTGTAATAAATTGTTTTGCGGGAAAATAATCACCCATTCGATTTATTTTACTTTCCTGGGTGGTGGTGGCCTTTACTGAATTAAATTACCAAAATTCGGTTTTGTCCTCTCAATGTTCAGTACAGTACATTGCTGTATTCTCTAAGAATTACAAAATGGAGGCAATTAACCCTTTGTGGCCCAATGTTGCCCACAGGCAACAAAATGTTTTAGAGCTTATATTTTATATGCAGCTAGTAGATATGTATTATTTGGATTTCATATGTGAAGACCTAATTATGGACGCCACATATCAAAACAAAAATCAAAAAAATTCAAAAATTTGGTAAAGTTATGAGCTTTTCAATATAGAGAAGAGGGTAAATTTGTGTACAGTACTAATTTGTGTATACAGTCCAAATTATTTAAATCGCTTCGTATTCAAATTGTACAAATTCTACCCTCAGAATTATTTTTGATTCTTGTAAAATTGAATAAAGAGAATAATTTAAAATGATTTTTCTGACGATTTTGCATTTGGTTTTCTTGATATTGGACTTTAATTTTTCCGAAAGAATGTACTGTATCTACCGAATGCAAGGATATATCGATGTCAAATTTTGTGCCTATCCTATTTAGGATAGTTGTATTAAATCTGTGAACAGAAATTTGTCCTAAGATTGCGGAAAAAAATTCGGGGCTCAAAGGGTTAAAAAAAACAAATTATTCATTGTAAGGATCATCACTTTTCAATTGGTTTAGATCTTCGCTATATTTTGTACAGTACTTGTGATAGATGTTATGTTCTGAAACTCAATTTATATGTTATTACATAGGGTCGTGGTCTGCACTACATGATCTACTACAGGCATACTCAAAGAATTACAATTTCTATTGGTTTCTGTTGGTCTTTAATAGATTTAGTACAGTCCATTTTTTACTAACGTATTTTTTCTCATAATTTTCCATAGAAAAAGAGTCTTAGCTATGTAATATTTTGCAACAGGGTAGAATTGTATGCTGGAATTTAGTAGGTATATTTGGGGGAATCTCTACAAAATATTTTATTACAATTTCGCAATAGGTAGTAGATGGGAATCATAAATTATATTGGTTGGGGAAAAAGAAATCCATTGTCGAAAATGCCGATAAAATTGGAGAAATAATCGAAGTAACATTGCTGAGGAACTAAAAATCTAACATAAAACTGTTTTAAATCATTTACACAAAGCTGGATTCAAGAAGAAGCTCAAAAGCCAATTAACAGAAAAAATAGGATGGATCGAAGTTTTATCTTCAAAGCCTTGGCCAAGTGAGATAGACCCATTACATAAACTGATGGTGACTGGAGATGGAAAATGGACCGTTTGAATGTAGTAATTGACCAGAAACGGCCAGAATTGGCCAAAAAGAGAGGTGTGGTGTTCCAACACATCTACAGTGCCTCGCCAGAAACTTCGGGAGCTGGGGTGGACTTGGCACCAAGCGATTATAATCATTTTCTTGCATTGCAACATATCTTTAATGATAAAAAAATGGTATCTAGGGAGGATTGTAAAATCGATTACTAGATTTTGATTTTTTGCTAATAGAGATCCGTACTTCTATGAGAGAGGCATTATGAAGTTACCTTTAAAATGGCACCGAATCATACAACAAAACGGTACAAATCGGACATTCCGAAGCATGTTAAATAAAGTCCTATAGTTCATATGAAAATAATTGATTTCTTTTTCCCCAACCTAATATTTTGCCCTTAGAGAGCACATCTTATTGCGATCAGAGAAAAGAGAGCTTGGACAAACTTGGATGAATAATTTGGGATAATTTGGTATGTGGATAAGTTGTTGGAACATGTGTAAAAATTTTTATGTCCATACTAGAACGAAGACTTTAAATAATGCTACGTAAGAGTGTGGATGACTTTATCTACATGGATCCGATCATCATTTTGATGGATCCATTGGAACATATGTGTGCATGTTTATGTTGATTCTAAGACGAAGTCTTTAAAAAATGCTACCTAGGATTGTGGATGAATTTATCTGCGTGGATCCGGTCATCATTGTCGGAAAATTTAATTCATTGTAGGTTTATTATAATTTTAAGAACGAGGCTAATTTTATCGTAACTGAAGATAGGTTAATTTTCCTTTGAGTATTATTTTTGGATAAATTAACTGGTCATTGTGGGCGTAAGCAAGATCTCAAGATCCTTGCCTTCTTTCTGGATGAGGCAAATTCCACCCACCACATGTTAAAATCTAATAACACGAATAAGTTTAGCGATTATATGCTCGCAATATTTAAAGCGAATACTCAGGTCTTGTGTATGAACTGTTAGGCCGTGGACATGAGCTGCGAAAGCAGAAACCTTGTTCTATGGCACTATGACTTTCAATTCGAATACAGTTTTTTTTTTGGTGTGGGGCTATTAGATAGTGCGGAACAGTTACGTTGGCAAACATAACATTTTGCCATCATTATGGCTTTGTTCAGTTGTTGTTGCTGCTGGTTAGTGGTTTAGCTTCAAAATATAGCGTACAATAAGCGTATGACCGAACCATAAGGTCTTGTGTGTGTGGAAGAAGCTATGAGCGTTCCAGCTTTTTTTTAAACAAGCCTTAAGCAAATGTCTTTTCTGACTTCCAAAGAATAAAAAAACACACATTGTAAAACATAAAATTAAGCCTGCCACGCCAAAATGCAACGCATTTGTAGCTCTCCTCCGCCTTCCGTCACCCTTTAGCTGTCCTTCACCTGATTTTCGCAAAAACACAAAATGAGATGAAAACGAGCACATTCACCAAACAACAACAGCCAGTCAACCAGCCAGCCGAATTGGTTAAGCAAAGCAATGGTGGCTGCCCGCCATGGACATGTATTGTGTTGCCAAACAATTTTGTCTGAGCTTAGTTATGCTGTCCCTGTCGTTGTTCCAAAGTCACACATTCCTATTATCGAGGATACAATGGGCTAAATGATGGTCAGTCAGCCAGCCAGTCAGCTAGTGTCTGCTAACAGAGCAAAAAAAGAAAACAATTTGAATGGAGCTTGAAAAAAAAAAACACGCAGAAATCCAAATATCCAACAGACAATGGACCCACAAAAAAATCAGCCAGCCTATTCTTCCTTTCATTGTTCACTGTGTTGTGGTTGGTGTTGGTTGATACAAAACGGCCTTTCATGCTAACCAAGCCAACCATTGTTGTCTGATGTTGTTGTTAAATATTTTGGGGCTATTTTTTCGGCGGTTTGTTTGTTACCCAGCCTGCCTTCAAATCCTAGCCAACATCTCTGAAATTCCAAATATTCCATTATTATGCTCTCCTTGCAATGTTAATGCCAGCAGTTGTCGGGTGGTTTTTTCATTCGAAAGCAGGGTATTTGCTTCTTTGTGTTTCGAAAATAACGAATTAGAAAATACGACCAATGAAAAGCCACACTCCCTCTTTTACCCTACTACCTTCTCTGTATATCCCTAACCTTTCTCCAATTGCATTTCTATTGAATATTTCAATGTTGCAAATTCGAAATTCGTTGCATGTGAAATTTAATCGTTTCGATGTGAAATGTTGGCCTTTAGCAACAGCTGTTGCATTTGTTCCTATCAACAAAAAAAAAAAAAAGACAAAAAGGAGTAGAGAATGGGGAGATTGTTTGGTCGAACGG